GTCCTTCTTGCCCTTCTTCTCCTTCTTCTCCTTCTCCTTCTTCTCCTTGCCCTCCTTCTTGTCCTTGCCTTTCTCCTCCTTCTTCTTCGCTTTCTCTTTCTTCTTCTTCTCGGCCAGGAGTTCCGCCAGGTCCAGATCGGCCTTCACCTATCCAGCGGAAGGAGGGGCTTACTGGGGGGTTCACCTGCGGACTGGGCCCTGCCCACTCCTCGGCCGCCTTCTACCCACCTCTTCAGGGGTCTTCTCAGCGAAGAGGACAGCGCAGCCCCCGAGACCCTCCTCTGGGTAATCTGGGAAGCGCCCCGTCAGGTCACTGCGCAAAGAAAGAGAGGAAGGACATGGTCAGCAAACGAGAAATGTTGGACATAGCAACCTTCCAAGCCTTCACTATTAGTTTGTTAATGTATATGTAGAATCATAGAATCATAGAATCAAAGAGTTGGAAGAGACCTCATGGGCCATGACTTTCTTTTTGTGAGAAGACCGAGACAAAGAAGGCATTAAGTAGTTCTGCCATTTCCCTACCTCCTGTCAGCATTGCCCCATCTTCTCAAAGAGGCCCTATCGCCTCTCAGTTTTTCCTTTTTCTACTGACATAATATCCCTGGCAAGCCTGAGCTCGTTTTGTGCTTTAGCCTTGCAGACCTTTTCCCTACAGGTGTTGGCTATTTGTTTGAATTCTTCTTTGGTGATTTCTCCCTTTTTCCACTTCTTGTGCTTGTCTCTTTTGTGTTTTAGCACAGTTAGAAGTTATTTAGACATCCATTCTGGCTTCTTTGGACTTGTCCTATTTTTTCTCTTTGTTGGCACAGTTTGCAATTGCGCCTTGAGTATTTCACTCTTGAGAAATTCCCATCCATCCGTAACTCCCTTGTCTTTTAGTATCTGTGTCCATGGAATGCTGCTCAGTGGTTCCTTCATTTTTCAGAAATTAGCTCTCCTAAAGTCCAAAATGCGGGGTTGACTTGTCTTAGTTTTGACCTTCCTTTGTACCTCAAATTGCAGGAACACATGGTCACTTGACCCTAAGGATCCTACCACTTCAACCGCATCGATCAGGTCCTCCGCATTTGTTAGGATGAAATCAAGAGTAGCCAACCCCTTTGTTGCCTCTTCTACCTTCTGGACCATGAAATTGCCTGCAAGGCAAGCGAGGAATTTGTTGGACCTTGTACTCTTGGCTGAGTTTGTTTTCCAGCAAATATCAGGATAGTTGAAATCGCCCATGACTACTACATCTCTTCTCCGTGCCTGTTTGGTCAACTGTTGGCAGAAGACTTCAAGTTCCTCCTCCTGGCTTGGAGGTCTGTAGTAGACGCCTACAACGAGATCTTTTTGAGTCCCAGTTCCCTTGATTCTTATTTGCTAATTACGTATTGATTTGCCAGAGAAACTACATCCTATCTATAACCGAACTTTAATAAGAATTATTTATTTATTTATCCAGAACATGTCTACCCCGTCCATCTCAACCTCCAAAGAGGGACTCAGGGCGGCTAACGACAGGCAACTATTCAGTGCCAAGACAATATAATAACATAACACATAAAATACAATTAGCATACATTTAAAAACTGTTGTAAATATACGTTAAAACAGTTGGCTGGTTCAAATTGTCATCCAAATCAGTCCACTAAAACCTTATCTTCACCCGTAAATCAGTCTATTCTGCGAACGCTTGATCCCACAGCCAGGATTTGAGTTTCTTCCAGAAGATCAGAAGGGATGGGGCAGATCTAATCTCATAAGGAAGGGAGATCCACAGCCAAGAGGCCACCACAGAGAAGGCCCTGTCTCTCATCCCCACCAAACGCAACTGCGATGGCAGTGGGACCAAGAGCAGGGACTCGCCGGATGATCTCTTAAGGTCCTTGGTGGTACGAAGAGGGAGATACATTCGCACAGGTAAACTGGGCTGAAACCATTTGTGAATTGTGCCTGAATTATCCTGAATTAATACAAGATGTTTGTGAGTAAACAATATATGTTACTTTTCAAAAGAAGACTTTGGGGATTTTTTTTGTCTCTGAGTGCATATATTTTAAACTAAGAGGTTTCAAGACAGAGTAGATGTTTTGGGCAACTGCAATTTCAACTTCAAATAAACATTTCCAAAATTCTGCAAGCTAAGGACAATAGAGTCTCGCTTATCCGACCTTCACTTATCCGACATTCCAGATAAGAGGCCGGACAGGAAGCATTCTCCCTCCTTCCCTCTGTGACTTCCATGCTCCTCTTCTGCATCCGGGCACTTAGAATCATAGAATCATAGAATCAAAGAGTTGGAAGAGACCTCATGGGCCATCCAGTCCAACCCCTTCTGCCAAGAAGCAGGAATATTGCATTCAAATCACCCCTGACAGATGGCCATCCAGCCTCTGTTTAAAAGCTTCCAAAGAAGGAGCCTCCACCACACTCCGGGCAGAGAGTTCCACTGCTGAACGGCTCTCACAGTCAGGAAGTTCTTCCTAATGTTCAGATGGATCTCCTCTCTTGTAGTTTGAAGCCATTGTTCCATTGCGTCCTAGTCTCCAGGGAAGCAGAAAGGAAGCTTGCTCCCTCCTCCTCCCTGTGACTTCCTCTCACATATTTATACATGGCTATCATATCTCCTCTCAGCCTTCTCTTCTTCAGGCTAAACATGCCCAGCTCATTAAGCCGCTCCTCATAGGGCTTGTTCTCCAGACCCTTGATCATTTTTAGTCGCCCTCCTCTGGACACATTCCAGCTTGTCAATATCTCTCTTGAATTGTGGTGCCCAGAATTGGACACAATATTCCAGATGTGGTCTAACCAAAGCAGAATAGAGCATGGGGAGCATTACTTCCTTAGATCTAGACACTATGCTCCTATTGATGCAGGCCAAAATCCCATTGGCTTTTTTTGCCGCCACATCACATTGTTGGCTCATGTTTAACTTGTTGTCCACGAGGACTCCAAGATCTTTTTCACACGTCCTGCTCTCGAGCCAGGCATTGTCCCCCATTCTGTCTCTTTGCATTTCATTTTTTCTGCCAAAGTGGAGTATCTTGCATTTGTCACTGTTGAACTTCATTTTGTTAGTTTTGGCCCATCATCTCTCTAATCTGTCAAGATCATTTTGAATCCTGCTCCTGTCCTCTGGAGTATTGGCTCTCCCTCCCAATTTGGTGTCGTCTGCAAACTTGATGATCATGCCTTCTAGCCCTTCATCTAAGTCATTAATAAAGATGTTGAACAGGACCGGGCCCAGGACGGAACCCTGCGGCACTCCACTTGTCACTTCTTTCCAAGATGAAGAGGAAGCATTAGTGAGCACTCTCTGTGTTCATCCACTTAACCAATTACAGATCCACCTCACCGTAGTTTTGCCTGCTGGGCCGCTCTAGCACCGAGGTTTCCCCCTGCCTTGACCCTTAAGTCCTTGTTGTTAGTATTCTAGGTGTCCAGCACCTATTAGGACACTCCATATTATCCAACATTTTCAGTTTTCTGATGTTCTGCTGGCCTATTTATGTCAGAGAAGCAAGACTCTACTGTATATGTTTTTTATGTGTGCAGTGGCATGCCTTTGTCCTTGGCAGTTCAAAGACATGGTTTAGCAGTTTAACAGCTGAGTTACCTGTGTGCCATTACATAATGCTAATGAATATCATTTTTTCAAAGGGTTGGCTCTTAACGAGGGCATGCCTTTCCTTTCAAAAGGTGGTGTCCAGCAAATTTTGGCCCTCCAGGTGTTTTGGACTGCAACTCCCACCAGCCTTGGGCCCCCCCCCCCCCTGCCACTTAAGCAGACAAAAGAAGGGGGTAGAGGAAGCAGGACCGGAAGCAGAATCCTCCTCCCTCCTTCTCTCTGTGATTTCCATGGTCCTCTTCTGTATCCAGGCACTTCTCGCTAAGCTGTTCTAGCCTCAAGGCATTGCCTTGCCTTAACCTTTTGAGTTAAGACAGGAGGAGACTCCGTATTATCCAACATTTTCATTTTTCTGATGTACTGCCGGCACGTTTATGTCGGAGAAGCGAGACTCTACTGTATATGTTTTTTATGTGTGCAGTGGCATGCCTTTGTCCTTGGCAGTTCAAAGACATGGTTTAGCAGTTTAACAGCTGAGTTACCTGTGTGCCATTACATAATGCTAATGAATATCATTTTTTCAAAGGGTTGGCTCTTAACGAGGGCATGCCTTTCCTTTCAAAAGGTGGTGTCCAGTAAATGTTGGGCCTCCAGGTGTTTTGGACTCACTCCCACCATTCCCCACCAGCCTCAGGCCCCTTCCTTCCCCCCCCCCCCGCCGCTTAAGCGACTGGGGGGGGGGGGAAGCAAAGGGCCTGAGGCTGTGAGGAATGGTGGGAGTTGGAGTCCAAAACACCTGGAGGGTGGAATATGGAGTGAGCGGTGGGCCGGACTCACTGGCACTCGATGAACCACTGTCGGAGCTGCTCCTTGAGGGCCTCACGCATGCTGGGCCCCTCAGCCTCATAGATGGCATCGCGGACGTGGTCGAGGGCCTCCTGGTACTCGGCCTCGTAGTCGGCCTGGCGCATGCGCCGCAGCTCCTCACCCAGCTGCGCCCGGATCATGGCCGGCGTGGCGCTCATCAGCTGCGGCTCCGGCTCCTTTGGGAAGAATCATTGAACCCTAGAGTTGGAAGAGACCTGGTGGGCCATCCAGTCCAACCCCATAATGCCTACCTCACACTGTGAGGCCTCCTCACAGACTGAGACCTTTCTCCCACTGAGGTTTACCTCAAACTGACAGCTACTAAGCTACGGGCACACCTGCTTATAAAGAACTGCAGCTTTTCATAGAATCCTAGAGTTGGAAGAGACCTGGTGGGCCATCCAGTCCAACTCCATAATGCCTACCTCACACTGGGAGGTCTTCTCACACACGGAGACATTTCTCCCACTGAGGTTTACCTCAGACTGACAGCTACTAAGCTACAGGCACACCTGATTATATAGAACTGCAGCTATTCATAGAATCCTAGTTGGAAGAGACCTGGTGGGCCATCCAGTCCAACCCCATAATGCCTATCTCACACTGTTAGGCCTTCTCACAGACTGAGACCTTTCTCCCACTGAGGTTTACCTCAGACCAACAGCTACTGAACTACAGGGACACCTCCTTATATAGCACTGCAGCTTTTCATAGAATCCCAGAGTTGGAAGAGACCTGGTGGGCCATCCAGTCCAACCCCATAATGCCTACCTCACACTGTGAGGCCTTCTCACAGACTGAGACATTTCTCCCACTGAGGTTTACCTCAGACTGATAGCTACTAAGCTACAGGCACATCTGATTATATAGAACTGCAGCTATTCATAGAATCCTAGTTGGAAGAGACCTGGTGGGCCATCCAGTCCAACCCCATAATGCCTACCTCACACTGTGAGGTCTTCTCACAGAGTGAGACCTTTCTCCCACTGAGGTTTACCTCAGACTCACTTTCTGTCTGGATTTTGAGAAATTTGTCTAGTTGTGGACTGGAGAGAGAATCCTAGAGTTGGAAGAGACCTCCTGGGCCATCATCCAGTCCACCACCATTCTGCCAAGAAGCAGGAATATTGCATTCAAAGCACCCCCGACAGATGGCCATCCAGCCTCTGTTTAAAAGCTTCCAAAGAAAGAGCCTCCACCACACTCCGGGGCAGAGAGTTCCACTGCTGAACGGCTCCCACAGTCGGGAAGTTCTTCCTAATGTTCAGATGGTGAGAAGCGTGTGCGTGCCACCACATTCAGGGGCAGAGAGTTCCACTGCTGAACGGCTCTCACAGTCGGGAAGTTCTTCCTCATGTTCAGATGGTGAGAAGCGTGTGCGTGCGTGGGGAGTGTGGAAAGGGGGACGTGGAGGGGGGAAGCTGCCCTTAATGGGCTCCTCCTCCTCTTTCGCCCCCTCCCTCCTCGCTTTCCTGCCACTTTCCCGCCTCATTGATCCCCAAATGGATTTTAAATATCGTCCCGAGGACGCAATTACGGGAAACGCTGAACTCGGCACTCTCGGGGAGGGGGGGGGGGGAGGGAGGGAGGGGGAGGGGCTGCCCACCATCCCGATGAAGGCCATCTCCATCTGCCGCGCCGCCGCCGTCATCCTCCGCAGGATGCAGCCCTTCCAGATCTGAAAGGGAAGGGGCAGTGGGGGTCAGGGCCCCCTCTGGCCCCCTCTGACCCCTCCCCTCCCCCTCCCCCTCCCCCTCCCCCGGGCTGACCTTCTGGATGACGGTGGCGGCGGTGTTCCTGTCCGGTTCGGCCAGCCCGGCCTCGCGCGCCCTCCTCTCGCGCTCCTCGTCGCGGCGGATCTCGGCCATGAAGCGCGCCCTCAGCCGGCCCTGGCGCATGCGCTCCGCCATCTGGATCAGGCGCACCGCCTCCTCGCGGGGGAGCCCGGGGCGGGGGGGCTGCGGGGGGGGGGAGGACAGAGAGGGCAAGGGGTCAAGGTCAGCGCTGGGCACCACCCCTGCCCCCCTTGACCCTTGGGCAAGCCCTCCCGACAGGTGGCCAGCCAGCCAGAGAGAGTGGGAAGGGGCACCCAAAGGCCATCCAGTCCAGCCCCCTTCTGCCAGGCAGGCAGGCACCACACAAGCCCTCCTGACAGGTGGCCGGCCAGCCAGAGATGTGATCGAGAGAGTAGGAAGCGGCACCCAAAGGTCATCCTGTCCAGACCCCTTCTGGCAGGCAGGCAGGCAGGCACCACCCAAGCCCTCCCGACAGGTGGCCAGCCAGCCATGGATGTGAACCGCCCTGAGTCCCCTTCGGGGTTGAGAAGGGTTGAACACAAATACCGCAAAGAAATAATAATCCATACAAAGATCGATAGATATGATTGAAAGAGAGAGAGATTCAACCCCAGAGTTGTAGGGGACCCCCGAGGCACCACCCAAGCCCTCCTGACAGGTGGCCACCCAGCCAGAGATGTGATCGAGAGAGTTGGAAGGGGCACCCAAAGGCCATCCAGTCCAGCCCCCTTCTGGCAGGCAGGCAGGCACCACACAAGCCCTCCCGACAAATGGCCAGCCAGCCATAGATATGATAGAGGGAGAGAGAGAAAGAGAGAGAGAGAGAGAAATTCAATCCCAGAGATGGAGGGGATCCCGGACACCATCCAAGCCATCCCAACAGATGGCCATCCAGCTATAGATATGATTGAAAGAGGGGGGGGGGGTTCAACCCCAGAGTTGGAAGTGACCCTTCAAGGCCATCCAGTCAATCCAGCCCCCTTCTGCCAGGCAGGTAGGCACCACACAAGCCCTCCCGACAAATGGTCAGCCAGCCATAGATGTGAACCACCCTGAATCCCTTTCGAGGCTGAGAAGGGTTGCATACAAATACCGTAAATAAATAATAATAAACAGATAGATAGATAGATAGATAGATAGATAGATAGATAGATAGGACTGAGAGGGAGGGAGAGATTCAACCCCAGAGTTGGAAAGGACCCCTAAAGGTCATTCAGTCAATCCAGCCCCTTTCTGCCAGGCAGGGAGGCACCATCCAAGCCCTCCCGACTGACGGCCAGTCAGCCATAGATATGATCGAAAGAGTTGGAAGGGGACCTTAAAAGGTCATGCACTCCAGCCCCCTCCTGCCAGGCAAGGAGGCACCATCCAAGCCATCCTGATAGATGGCCAGCCAGCCATAGATATGATTGAGAGAGAGAGAGAGAGAGAGAGAGATTCAACCCCAGAGATGGAAGGGGTCCCTAAAGGCCTGCCAGGCACGCAGGCAGGCACCATCCAAGCCCTCCCGACAAATGGCCACCCAGCCATAGAAGTGAACCTTCGTGAGACCCCTCAAGGCCACCCAGTCAGTCCAGCCCCCTTCTGCCAGGCAGGGAGGCAGCATCCAAGCCCTCCCGTCAGATGACCAGCGAGCCATAGATATGATTGGGGGGGGGGGGGGGGGGAGATTCAAACCCCAGAGCCGGAAGGGACCCCTCAAGGCCATCCAGTCACTCCAGCCTCCTTCTACCAGCCCCATCCAAGCCACCCTGCTTCTGTGTGTTATCAAAGGCTTTCGTGGCTGAAATCACTGGGTTGCTGTGAATTTTCCCGGCTGTCTGGCCACGTAATAATTATTAAATAATTAATAAATAATAATAATAGATAATAATAATAGATTATTATTATTGTTGTTGTTGTTGTTGTTGTTGTTATTATAGGCCTCCTTTGCCTACTTTCCAGCAGACCTCCCCACCTCTGAGGATGCCTGCTGCCAGAGATGTGGGCGAAAGGTCAGGAGAGAATGCTTCGGGAGCGTTTTGTCCACGCAGCCCGGACAAACTCGCCGCACAGCCCACCCTGCTTCTGAACCCCCAGAGAAGGAAGCGATTTGAGTCAAGAAGGAGGGGTTTGTGGGTGCGGGTCTCACGGTGAGGGCCTTTCCGGGTCCCACGCGTGTCAGGAGCCCCGCGAGGACCTCTTGCCGCTCCAGCAGCACCTTGGCGCGCTCGCTGAGGAAGTACCGCGGGATGGGGACCTCCAGGTCGGCCTAAGGGAGGGAGGGAGGAAGGGCGGGTCAGGGTTTTGGCTTCCACCACGCGTGGGCAAACGTGGGCCCTCCCACCAGGTGGGAGTTGGAGTCCAGCACCCCTGGAAGGAAGGTCGAAGCCGTCCCACGCGTGGCTGCCACCCTCTGCCTCCCACGCGCCCCCCCCCACCCGCGACCGACCGGGGTGAGCTTGAGCTCGTGGAGCGCGTGGTCGAGGCAGTGGGTCTCGGAGAGGTCGAGCTCGACCATCTGGTGCTTGAGCTCGAGGACGCGTCCGAGGACGGCGTCGAGGAGCATCCGGAGGACGGGGCGCTTTTGCGGGTGGACGCCCTGGTCGTAGCAGGCCTCCAGGCGCCGCGCCGCCCCCACGTAGCGCGCGAACAGCACCCCCAGCCCGTGGCCGAAGGACGCGCGGTTCCGCTCCGGGCGGGGAGGCTCCGGGGGGAGCTCCGCCGAGAGCAGGTCCTCCAGCGTCACGCGGGTCTCCCGCCACAGGCGCCCGTAGGTGCTATTTGGGGCGGGGGGGGGGGGAGAGTGGGAGAGAGAGAGGGGAAGGGGAGGTGAAGGGCAGCGACTCCAGAGACCCCCCTCCCCACGACCCTCCCCACGCGCCCACCTGCTCGCCATGCCGCCGGACAAGCCCACGCCTTATCCCCCACGCCACGCCCCTCCGGACCAAGTTTCTCAGGGAGGGGGGAGAGTGGGGGGAGGGAAGGGGAGGTGAAGGGGAGCGACTCCAGAGACTCCCCCCTCTCCCGACCCGTTTGCCCCTCCCCACGCGCCCACCTGCTAGCCATCCTGCCCGCCCAGGCGAGCCCGCCGCCCCCCCCCCCGCCCAAGCTCCTCGGGGGAAGGGGGAGACTCTGAAGGGGAGCGACTTCAGAGACCCCCTCCCCGACCCGCTTGACCCTCCCCACGCGCCCACCTGCTAGCCATCCTGCGGGACAAGCCCCGCCCCTTATCTCCCACGCCACGCCCCTCCTCCCAAGCTCTTAGGGGGGGAAAGTGGGGGGGAGGTGAAGGGGGAGACTCGGAAGGGGAGCGACACCAGAGCCCCCCCCCCGACCCGCTTGACCCTCCCCACGCGCCCACCTGCTAGCCATCCTGCGGGACAAGCCCCGCCCCTTATCTCCCACGCCACACCCCTCCTCCCAAGCTCTTAGGGGGGGAAAGTGGGGGGGGTGAAGGGGGAGACTCGGAAGGGGAGCGACACCAGAGACCCCCCCCCGACCCGCTTGACCCTCCCCACGCGCCCACCTGCTAGCCATCCTGCGGGACAAGCCCCGCCCCTTATCTCCCACGCCACACCCCTCCTCCCAAGCTCTTAGGGGGGGAAAGTGGGGGGGGAGGTGAAGGGGGAGACTCGGAAGGGGAGCGACACCAGAGACCCCCCCCCGACCCGCTTGACCCTCCCCACGCGCCCACCTGCTAGCCATCCTGCGGGACAAGCCCCGCCCCTTATCTCCCACGCCACACCCCTCCTCCCAAGATCCTCTGGGGGAGTTTGGGGGGAAGAGAACTTGAAGGGGGAGACTCGGGATGGGAAGCGACTCCAGAGACCTCCCCGACCCGCTTGACCCTCCCCACGCGCCCACCTGTTCGCCATGCTGCGGGACAAGCCCCGCCCCTTATCTCCCACGCCCCGCCCCTCCGGGCCAAGCTCCTCCCTCCATTGTGGGCTCCGGTTCCCATGGGAACGAGGGAATGGAGGGCTCCCCCCCTCCCCAGGGCACACTTCTCTTCACCAGAAGTAATGTTTGCAGCCGACTTTGGAGAAAATGCTTCAGCTGTACTTTTCAAAAAGGAAAATCGCCCCCTTTTTTTACAGCTTGAGAAAGTGCAAGTGAAGTCCTGGACACACTGGGATCAGGAAAGGGTTTCTGAATGCCCCTCCCCCCCCCAGTGACTGTTTCAGACATTGAGAGGCCTCACCTCACCAGAAGCAGTGTTTGCAGCCGACTTTGCAGAAAATGCTTCAGCTGTACTTCAAAAAAGGAAAACAATTCCCTTTATTTACAGTTTATTTATTTATTTACAGTATTTATATTCCACCCTTCTTTCTCACCCTGAAGGGCACTCAGGGCAGATCACAGAACACATGTACCACAAACATTCAAGGCCAGTGACAGTAGAGTCTCGTTTATCCGATCTTCGCTTATCCAACTTTCACTTATCCGACATTCCGTTTTATCCAACGCTCTTATATGACGTCCCCCTTTTCCTCCAGCTTTTCCCCTTCAATCAAAGGAGCGAATTTCCCCAACTCTCTCTCCATTGGGTTGTTGTAGGTTTTTCGGGCTATATGGCTATGTTCTAGAAGCATTCTCTCCTGACGTTTTGCCTGCACTCTCTCTCCATTCCCAATAAGTGAAAAAGGCAAGAGGAGGAGGGAGGAAGGGGGGGGGGGGGAAGGCAGGACCGGAAGTGGAAGCATCCTCTCTCCTCCCCTCTGGGATTTCCATGCTCCTCTTCTGCATTATCCGGGCACTTCCTGTTGGGCCCCTCTAGCCCCAAGACCTTGCCTTGCCTTCACCCTTTGAGTCATAGAATCATAGAATCCTAGAATCAAAGAGTTGGAAGAGACCTCATAGGCCATCCAGTCCAGCCCCATTCTGCCAAGAAGCAGGAATATTGCATTCAAATCACCCCTGACAGATGGCCATCCAGCCTCTGTTTAAAAGCTTCCAAAGAAGGAGCCTCCACCACACTCCGGGGCAGAGAGTTCCACTGCTGAACGGCTCTCACAGTCAGGAAGTTCTTCCTCATGTTCAGATGGAATCTCCTTTCTTGTAGTTTGAAGCCATTGTTCCATGTCCTAGTCTCCAAGGAAGCAGAAAACAAGCTTGCTCCCTCCTCTCTGTGACTTCCTCTCACATATCTCCTCTCAGCCTTGTCTTCTTCAGGCTAAACATGTCCAGCTCCTTAAGCCGCTCCTCATAGGGCTTGTTCTCCAGACCCTTGATCATTGTAGTCGCCCTCCTCTGGACACATTCCAGCTTAGAGTCAATATCTCTCTTCAACTGTGATGCCCAGAATTGGATACACTATTCCAGTTGTGATCTAGCCAAAGCGGAATAGAGCATGGGGAGCATGACTTCCCTAGATCTAGACACTATGCTCCTCTTGATGCAGGCCAAAATCCCATTGGCTTTTTTTGCCGCCACATCACATTCCTGGCTCATGTTTAACTTGTCCACGAGGACTCCAAGATCTTTTTCACACGTACTGCTCTCGAGCCAGGCATTGTCCCCCATTCTGTATCTTTGCATTTCGTTTTTCCTGCCAAAGTGGAGTATCTTGCATTTGTCCCTGTTGAACTTCATTTTGTTAATTTTGGCCATTCATCTCTCTAATCTGTCAAGATCGTTTTGAATCCTGCTCCTGTCCTCTGGAGTATTGGCTCCCTCCCAATTTGGTGTCGTCTGCAAACTTGATGATCCTGCCTTCTAACCCTTCATCTAAGTCATTAATAAAGATGTTGAACAGGACCAGGCCCAGGACGGAACCCTGCGGCACTCCGCTCGTCACTTCTTTCCAGGATGAAGAGGAAGCATTGGTGAGTACCCTCTGGGTTCGTCCATTTAACCAATTACAGATCCACCTCACCGTAGTTTTGCCTATTCCCTGTTGTTAGTATTCTAGGCATCGGATGGGTAATAGTAGGAGACTCCATATTGTCCAACATTTTTGTTTATCCGACGTTCTGCCGGCCCATTTATGTCGGATAAGTGAGACTCTATTGTATAACAATAAGACAGACAACAAATAAAGGTATATATAGGCTTTCCCATCTTTTGGCATCTTTGGAGGCCGTGCTTGGTTCTGGCCACCAGGAGGTGCTGTTGCTTCATCTCCGTGGTGAAGAGCTTTCTTTGTTCGTAAACTTCCTCCTTTTTCTGATCAAACACAAAACCTAAATACCCACTCACTTTAACGCAGTTCCTATTTAACTACTCACATTTGTTTTCAAACTGCTAGGTAGGCAGAAGCTGGGCAGAAAGTCAGCTGCTCACTCTGACCCGGACTTTGAACTCTCAACCTTCCGGTTGGCAAGATTTATTGCAGCTTGGTGATTAACCTGCTGTGCTAAAGCCCGGCCCTTTTGCAAGTCTTGCAGATTTTGATTTGTTATCCGTTTGACTTTGATCAGTCATTGGCTTCCATTGAACAGGATTGCTTTAGGTTCAAATATTTATTGAAGTAAAAAATAAATCCATTCTAGATGGAAAAGGGTTTGGACTAGCTTATATTCTATATAAACTCATATTCTAAGAAAGGTAAAAGGATGAAAAGTCAAAAGTATCCATGCAGCTACTTTTTGCCTGGAGAGAGGCAAAATGCGTCCTAGTTGGAAGGAAGAAAAAGCAGAGAGCAACAACGGAGGATGGCCACATGACCAAACCCAGGTCAAGAAAAATACCTTTAAAGAGGAAGTGACCTCATCCCTCACAGAGATTCCATTTCTACATCTTCAGGGGAGGGGGGGGGAGGGAGGGAGGGGGACTATATATACACTGATACGCCTGGGTTTGTGTACTTAGAATAATAGAATCCTAGAATCAAAGAGTTGGAAGAGACCTCCTGGGCCATCATCCAGTCCAACCCCATTCTGCCAAGAAGCAGGAATATTGCATTCAAAGCACCCCTGACAGATGGCCATCCAGCCTCTGTTTAAAAGCTTCCAAAGAAGGAGCCTCCACCACACTCCGGGGCAGAGAGTTCCACTGCTGAACGGCTCTCACAGTCAGGAATTTCTTCCTCATGTTCAGATGGAATCTCCTCTCTTGTAGTTTGAAGCCATTGTTCCATTGCGTCCTAGTCTCCAGGGAAGCAGAAAACAAGCTTGCTCCCTCCTCCCTGTGGCTTCCTCTCACATATGTATACATGGCTATCATATCTCCTCTCAGCCTTCTCTTCTTCAGGCTAAACATGCCCAGCTCCTTAAGCCGCTCCTCATAGGGCTTGTTCTCCAGACCCTTGATCATTTTAGTCGCCCTCCTCTGGACACATTCCAGCTTGTCAATATCTCTCTTGAATTGTGGTGCCCAGAATTGGACACAATATTCCAGGTGTGGTCTAACCAAAGCAGAATAGAGGAGGAGCATTACTTCCCTAGATCTAGACACTATGCTCCTATTGATGCAGGCCAAAATCCCATTGGCTTTTTTTGCCGCCACATCACATTGTTGGCTCATGTTTAACTTGTTGTCCACGAGGACTCCAAGATCTTTTTCACACGTACTGCTCTCGAGCCAGGCATTGTCCCCCATTCTGTATCTTTGCATTTCGTTTTTTCTGCCTAAGTGGAGTATCTTGCATTTGTCCCTGTTGAACTTCATTTTGTTAGTTTCGGCCATTCATCTCTCGCATGTGTGAAGATCGTTTTGAGTCCTGCTCCTGTCCTCTGGAGTCTTGGCTCTCCCTCCCAGTTTGGTCCCGCCTGCAAACTTGATGATCCTGCCTTCTGGCCCTTCATCCAAGTCATTAATAAAGATGTTAAACAGGACCGGAACGCCCAGGACGGAACCCTGCGGCACTCTTGGCTTATATCGTCCTCGGCATGAGCTGGCAGCCTCCCACCCAAGTTCCTGGTAGGGTTGATGCTGCTTAGCTTCCAAGTCCAAGCTGCTTTTGAGCCCAACCAAGGTCTACCCAGCGGCCCTCGTGTTCCCCTGGACCTTGCACTTCCTGGAAGGGTCTGCAATCCGACCACTGGCTCAAGGCGTGGCTCAGGCCAAGGCAAATGCCACACGGGCAGGAAACCTCACAAAAAGCCCGTGTGGCTTTCAGAGTTTGAGTCACTGAGAAGACAGAGGGGACAGGAAGAAGCAGTGGGTCCCACAGAACATTTCCCGAGAGCCCCCCACCTCATTTCAGTTTTGCCCTCCCCTCTCCATCCTCTCCACACAGGAAGCCCCTTGGACAAACAGGATGCCTGCTCCCAGCAACGGGAGAGAGAGAGAGAGAGAGAAATGGCTCTGGAAACCCTTTTCCTCTTTACTGATGGGTCCGCCTGAGGCCAGCTGGGCCTTTACACTGATAAATAACTCTTCTCCAGAAACTGAGGCCCTCCACGTCTAGGAAGTCTTGCGGATGATGCTGATTTGTTGGCGAGTGCTTGATCTTGAGAAGTAAGCAGATCCTCCTGGCCTTGCACAGAGATGTCTTGGGTGGGAAACACTCAGGAAGCCTTGACTTGCATAGCACTTGGCATGAGTTGAGGGTCTCCCACTCAAGTCCCAGCCAAGGCTGACACTACTTAGCTATGGAACTCTCTCCCGAGCTATGGAACTCCCGGCTACAGAACTCTCCCCCGAGCGGGACTGGATTTGTCCCCTTCCTCTTGTCCTTCAGGAGGCGAGTGAAATCCTAGTTATGGAACGAAGCATTCCCAGAATAATGGCGGAGACTGGTTACAGACCAATGTGAGTGACCACATTTGTGGACTGAGTTGAACATGAATTTCCCTTGGCGATTTGGCATTTTGGTATATCTATGTGTTTTATCTATATGTATTTTAATCTTGTTTTGTTGTATGATGTTTAAACTTCGGAGTGATCCTGGACTCATCGTTGAGCCCGGAACCCCAGGTCTCAGCGGTGGCCGGGAGAGCTTTTGCACAACTAAGACTTGTGCACCAGCTGCGCCCGTACCTTGGGAAGTCGGATCTGGCCACGGTGGTCCACGCTCTTGTTACATCCCGATTAGATTACTGCAACACACTCTACGTGGGGTTGCCCTTGAAGACTGTTTGGAAACTCCAACTAGTCCAGAGGGAGGCAGCCAGACTGCTCACTGGAGCGCCTGTTGTGTCAGCTCCACTGGCTGCTGATCCAGTTAAGAGCACAATTCAAAGTGCTGGTTTTGACCTACAAAACCCTATATGGCTCTGGCCCAGTGTATCTGTCTGAACGGATCTCCCTCTACGTGCCACCCCGGAGTCTAAGATCTTCTGGGGAGGCCCTGCTCTCGACCCCGCCTCTATCACAAGTGAGGCTGGCGGCGACGAGGAGCAGGGCCTTCTTGGTGGTGGCCCCCACCTGTGGAATTCGCTCCCCGGGGAGATTAGATCAGCGACATCACTCCTTTCCTTTAGGAAAAAACTGAAGACATGGATTTGGGACCAGGCGTTCGGACAATCGTGCAGATAAAGAAAGGACTTTGACGATGGAGAGGAAATGACTAACGGAATGGAATTATGGATCTCTGAAAAACGAACGCTGAGCATGTGAATAGTTTTCATATGATGTGTTATATACTGATTGTTTTGATTGTTTTAACTATGGTTTTGTACATTATGTGTAATTTGTATAGGCATTGAATTGTGCCTTTGTGTAAGTCGCCCTGAGCCCCCCCCCCCCCTCGGGGGTTGAGAAGGGCGGGGCAAAAGTACCAGAAATAATAAAATAATAATAATTAGTAGCATTGAATCCTTGCTGTAAGCTGGTCTGAGTCCCTCCACGGAGGTGAGAAGATCGGGATATAAAAGCTTTGAATAAATAAATAAATAAATGCTTCCAAGAATGCTGCCGGAGTTGTGTTCGGGCTGAAATGGGCAGGATAAAAATGATGTAAATAATTAAATATGACCAAGCTGGATTTGAGCTCAACAAAGGTCTGTCTGGCTGCCCTCATGTTCCCCCACCTCTGGACCTGGCACTTCCTGGAGGGGTCCACTAGTAGACCCCGTAGCTCAGGCCAAGGAACCCTGCAAAACAGCCCTGGCCCTTTCTGTTGGGTTTCCTCCTCGGACTCTTCTGTCATCAAGTCTCCAGTTCTCAACGAGTAGCCAGACCAGGGATGGGATTAGAGTGAGGGATTCCTCTCCCCACATTCCTAGGCATGCTTATCCCAGAAGTGGGCTTTGCCTTTCCTCTTCTTGCTTGCCACTATCTCCCCCCACCCCCACTCATTTGAAGGTGTCGGAATGGAATCTTTGGGATGCAAGAGACTCCACTTTGGCAGGAAAAACGAAATGCAAAGAGATGCCTGGCTCGATGAGCAGGACGTGTGAAAAAGATCTGGGAGTCCTCGTGGGGAGGAAGTTAAACACAAGCCAGGAATGTGATGTGGCGGCAAAAGAAGCCAATGGGATGTTGGCCTCAGGCATCAAGAGGAGGGGCCTAGTGCCTAGATCTAGGGAAGTCCTGCTCCCCATGCTCTATTCCGCTTTGGTTAGACCACATCTGGAATATTGTGTCCAATTCTGGGCACCACCATTCAAGAGAGAGATTGACTCTAAGCTGGAATGTGTCCAGAGGAGGGCGACTCAAAGGATCCAGGGTCTGGAGAACAAGCCCTATGAGGAGCGGCTTAAGAAGCTGGGCATGTTTAGCTTGAAGAAGAGAAGGCTGAGAGGAGATGTGATGAGCCATGTATAAATATGTGAGAGGAAGCCACAGGGAGGAGGAGGGAGCAAGCTTGCTTTCTGCTTCCTTGGAGACTAGGACGCAATGGAGGAATGGCTTCAAACTACAAGAGAGGAGATTCCATCTGAACATGAGGAAGAACTTCCTGACTGTGAGAGCCGTTCAGCAGTGGAACTCTCTGCCCTGGAGTGTGGTGGAGGCTCCTTCTTTGGAAGCTTTTAAACAGGGCTGGATGGCCATCTGTCAGGGGTGATTTGAATGCAATATTCCTGCTTCTTGGCAGAATGGGGTTGGGCTGGATGATGGCCCAGGAGGTCTCTTCCAACTCTTGGATTCTATGTTCAGCAGTGGAACTCTCTGCCCTGGAGTGTGGTGGAGGTTCCTTCTTTGGAAGCTTTTAAACAGAGGCTGGATGGCCATCTGTCAGGGGTGTTTGAATGCAATATTCCTGCTTCTTGGCAGGGGGTTGGATGATGGCCCAGGAGGGGGTCTCTTCCAACTCTTGGATTCTAGGATTCTATGAGCGGGGAGCAGCGGAGGTGGCGAGGAGGAGGAGGAGGAGGAGGCCACTGCCAAAGAGCCCAGGGAAGGAAAAACCCGCAGAACAGCGAATCTGCAATAAGCAAACTACAAAGTAGTGAGGGAGCACTGTATTTATGGTGGAATCCCCCCAAGTGAGGGTCATTTTGAGCCTAAGAACTCAAGATTCCCCAACACTTTCAGAGTTGGATTCACTGAGAAGACAGAGAAGGCAACACCAAAGAGCAAGCGAACCCCACAGAACATTTCCCAAGAAGAGAGATGCCTGCAGACGGCCTTCTCTTGGTTTCAATGTATGCCCCTCCCCAAATCCTCTCCACAGCAGAAGCCCCTTGAATGAACACAACGGCTGCTCCTTGCTCCCAACGAGAAGTGAGAGAGAGAGAGAGAGAGAGAGACGGGTCTGGAAACACTTTTCCTCTTTATTGACGGATCCTTCTGCGGCCGGCTGGGCCTTTACACTGATAAATAACTGTTCTACGGAAACCGAGGCCCACGTTTGGAGTTTGGAGTGAGTGCAGAGTAGAAAGTGGAAAGACTGCTCCGGGGAGGGAGGGAGGGAGAGAGAGAGAGAGAGAGGGGGCCACACTGGGTCTCTTGGCCCCCAAAGGGTGGATGTCATCTTGGAAGGCAGGCAGAGAGAGGAGGAGGAGGAGGGAGGTGGAGGGCGCTGGGTGTCAGCACGGAGGGCCAAGAGTGGCATCAGGGGGGAAAAGAGCTCGGTGTTCCCAGAGGCAAAGCTGTGAGTGTGTGTAGGGGCGGGGGGGGGGGGGGGGGGGGGGGGGACAGAGCAGGGCCAAAGGGTCAGAGCAGCAGCAGCAGCAACTGAAGAGAGGGTCCTTTCTAGCTTCTCTAGGCTGTTGGGGGGAGGAGGAGGAGGGCAGACGCAGCAGGTTGGGGGCCACCAGTCTCTGAGGAAAGGCCCAACCTTGCCCCCCCTTCCTCCCCCTCCCCCTCCCCTCCTGCCGTGGGGCTCAGGCGCTGTGGGTCTTCTTGGCGAGCGCCGGCTCCTCGTCCACCAGCTTGGACTTGAGGTGCTCCTTGTAGGAGAGGATGTCTCCGGGCCACTTGGTGATCGTCCGCTTCTCACAGACCCAGATCTCCTGCGCCACCTGGGGGGGGGGGGGGGGGGATGACACGTGAGGGTCTCCTGCCATTGGGAGGGAGGAGTGCTGCGCCCACTGAGTGCCCCACAGCCTCTGCCTTGTTCTGGCTGCCCTGGAACCTTTGCAGCATCCGCTCTTGTGGGGAGGCTGAGGCTTCCTGGGCTGACCCCTGGGAATGGGGTCCCACCTGTCCCATTGGAGTGGATGACCCCACCCTCCAGCCCCATACTCCCCTGACCCCCTCCAACCCTCCCCCCTTCGAACCTGCTGGATGAGCCGGAAGTCGTGGCTGACCAGCATCATGCCCCCCTCGAAGTCGCTGATGGCGTCGGCCAAGGCGTCGATGGTCTCGATGTCCAGGTGGTTGGTGGGTTCGTCCAGGAAGAGCATGTGGGGGTTCTGCCAGGCCAGCCAGGCAAAGCAGACGCGGCACTTCTGGCCGTCCGACAGGTTGCGGATGGGGCTCACCTGGGCGGGCAGACGGACAGGTGTGTCAGGCTGCAGGTGGATTGGCCAGCCAACCCCCCCCCCCCAACCAAGGGGCAACCCCTTTGGTTCCTAAGAGCAGGAGGGGAACTCCCCAAACTCCCCCCGGGGAGCGTCCCTCAAGAGCAGGCCTGCCCCAATCCCCCAGATTCCTATGCGTGTCTTCCCAAAAGGACTCTGTCTTTCCTCTTCCTCCTCCTTGCCACCATCTCCCCCCCCTTTGATAACGTAGGAATGGAATCCTGTGAGGGAACTTCCTTTCTGAAGGTGTTTTCATTACCGTGGGGTTGATCATGTGCCCATTCACCATTTCTCCATTCTCTTCTGCTTTTCCCCCCATCTACAAGGAGGAACTTTTTGCCTCTCTCTCTAGGCAAAATGTAGCTGCATGGATTTTTTAAACGCTTTCTTTAGAAGACGAGGCTTAGTAAGCTAGTTGACTCCCAGACCTTTTCTACCAAGAATTGATTTGTATTGTCGAAGGCTTTCATGGCTGGAATCACTAGGTTCTTGTGGGTTTTTTCGGGCTATAGGGCCATGTTCTAGAGGCATTTCTCCTGACGTTTCGCCTGCATTCTTTTACTTCGATAAATATTTCCCTCTATAGACCAACTTGGACATTGTGTTCATTGGAGGAGGCCCTCCTCTCAATCCCACCCCCATCCCAAGCATGGCTGGACGGAACGAGAGAAAGGGTCTTCTCCATGGCTGCCCCCCACCCCTGGACCTCCCTTCCTAAGGAGTTAAAGATGCCCCCTCCCAACTAAACAACTAAAGACATACCTCTGCTCACTGGCTTAATTGCTGATACGACCATTCTACCTCTGATTAAGGGCTACCACCCCCACCCGTGCCCAGTTCGCCCAGCAACTCAACAGACATCTTGAGCAAGGATCAGTCTCTGTCCCCCAGGAGCTGCGAAATCAATGCTTCTGTCTGATCCCTCAGTTCTTGTGGGTTTTTTCGGGCTATATGGCCATGTTCTAGAGGCATTTCTCCTCTTTTTCCCAGCTCCAGCAGACCTCTGAGGAAGCTTGCCATAGATGCAGGCGAAACGTCAGGAGAAATGCCTCTAGAACATGGCCATATAGCCCGAAAAAACCCACAAGAACTGAGTGATTCCGGCCATGAAAGCCTTCGACAATACTTCTGTCTGATGTTTGATCTTTTTTTTGATAGAACAGGCTCTGCTTTTAAAATTAATTTTAGCTGTTAAGTGATAATGTTGGGTTGCTAAATTTGGTATTGTTGTTGCGTTTGGGCATTGAATGCTTGCCTTTTATGTTTGGAATCCGACCTGAGCCCCTTCGGGGAAATAGAGCGGAATATAAATAATTTTTATATTATTATTATTATTAGCAACACAACAAGATGAGTCCACAGCAGACACTCTGGTGGCTGTTGTATTGGATCACACGTCGGACACTTCCATTATTATTAGTACTACTACTACTACTACTACTACTACTACTATTATTATTTTACTGACACAAAAACACAGTATGTCACAGCAAACGAGATATACATGCTGGATTTTGTAGGAAATTATTATTATTATTATTATTATTATTATTATTGGAAACACAACAAGATGAGTCCACAGCAGACACTCTGGTGGCTGTTGTATTGGATCACATGTCGGACACTTCCATTATTATTATTATTATTATTATTATTATTATTACTACTACTACTACTATTATTATTTTAATGACACAAAAACACAGTATGTCACAGCAAACGAGATATACATGCTGGATTTTGTAGGAAATTATTATTATTATTATTATTATTATTATTATTGGAAACACAACAAGATGAGTCCACAGCAGACACTCTGGTGGCTGTTGTATTGGATCACATGTCGGACACTTCCATTATTATTATTATTATTATTATTATTATTATTACTACTACTACTACTACTATTATTATTTTAATGACACAAAAACACAGTATGTCACAGCAAACGAGATATACATGCCGGATTTTGTAGGAAATTATTATTATTATTATTATTATTATTATTATTGGAAACACAACAAGATGAGTCCACAGCAGACACTCTGGTGGCTGTTGTATTGGATCACATGTCGGACACTTCCATTATTATTATTATTATTATTATTATTATTATTATTACTACTACTACTACTACTACTATTATTATTTTAATGACACAAAAACACAGTATGTCACAGCAAACGAGATATACATGCCGGATTTTGTAGGAAATTATTATTATTATTATTATTATTATTATTATTGGAAACACAACAAGATGAGTCCACAGCAGACACTCTGGTGGCTGTTGTATTGGATCACATGTCGGACACTTCCATTATTATTATTATTATTATTATTATTATTATTATTACTACTACTACTACCACTACTATTATTATTTTAATGACACAAAAACACAGTATGTCACAGCAAACGAGATATACATGCCGGATTTTGTAGGAAATTATTATTATTATTATTATTATTATTATTATTATTGGAAACACAACAAGATGAGTCCACAGCAGACACTCTGGTGGCTGTTGTATTGGATCACATGTCGGACACTTCCATTATTATTATTATTATTATTATTATTATTACTACTACTACTACTACTATTATTATTTTAATGACACAAAAACACAGTATGTCACAGCAAACGAGATATACATGCTGGATTTTGTAGGAAATTATTATTATTATTATTATTATTATTATTATTATTATTGGAAACACAACAAGATGAGTCCACAGCAGACACTCTGGTGGCTGTTGTATTGGATCACATGTCGGACACTTCCATTATTATTATTATTATTATTATTATTATTATTACTACTACTACTACCACTACTATTATTATTTTAATGACACAAAAACACAGTATGTCACAGCAAACGAGATATACATGCTGGATTTTGTAGGAAATTATTATTATTATTATTATTATTATTATTATTGGAAACACAACAAGATGAGTCCACAGCAGACACTCTGGTGGCTGTTGTATTGGATCACATGTCGGACACTTCCATTATTATTATTATTATTATTATTATTATTATTATTATTATTGGAAACACAACAAGATGAGTCCACAGCAGACACTCTGGTGGCTGTTGTATTGGATCACACGTCGGACACTTCCATTATTATTAGTACTACTACTACTACTACTACTACTACTATTATTATTTTACTGACACAAAAACACAGTATGTCACAGCAAACGAGATATACATGCTGGATTTTGTAGGAAATTATTATTATTATTATTATTATTATTATTATTATTATTGGAAACACAACAAGATGAGTCCACAGCAGACACTCTGGTGGCTGTTGTATTGGATCACATGTTGGACACTTCCATTATTATTATTATTATTATTATTACTACTACTACTACCACTACTATTATTATTTTAATGACACAAAAACACAGTATGTCACAGCAAACGAGATATACATGCCGGATTTTGTAGGAAATTATTATTATTATTATTATTATTATTATTATTGGAAACACAACAAGATGAGTCCACAGCAGACACTCTGGTGGCTGTTGTATTGGATCACATGTCGGACACTTCCATTATTATTATTATTATTATTATTATTATTATTATTACTACTACTACTACCACTACTATTATTATTTTAATGACACAAAAACACAGTATGTCACAGCAAATGAGATATACATGCCGGATTTTGTAGGAAATTATTATTATTATTATTATTATTATTATTATTATTATTACTACTACTACTACCACTACTATTATTATTTTAATGACACAAAAACACAGTATGTCACAGCAAATGAGATATACATGCCGGATTTTGTAGGAAATTATTATTATTATTATTATTATTATTATTATTATTATTACTACTACTACTACCACTACTATTATTATTTTAATGACACAAAAACACAGTATGTCACAGCAAACGAGATATACATGCCGGATTTTGTAGGAAATTATTATTATTATTATTATTATTATTATTATTGGAAACACAACAAGATGAGTCCACAGCAGACACTCTGGTGGCTGTTGTATTGGATCACATGTCGGACACTTCCATTATTATTATTATTATTATTATTATTATTATTACTACTACTACTACCACTACTATTATTATTTTAATGACACAAAAACACAGTATGTCACAGCAAACGAGATATACATGCTGGATTTTGTAGGAAATTATTATTATTATTATTATTATTATTATTATTAGCAACACAACAAGATGAGTCCACAGCAGACACTCTGGTGGCTGTTGTATTGGATCACATGTCGGACACTTCCATTATTATTATTATTATTATTATTATTATTATTATTATTACTACTACTACTACTACTATTATTATTTTAATGACACAAAAACACAGTATGTCACAGCAAACGAGATATACATGCCGGATTTTGTAGGAAATTATTATTATTATTATTATTATTATTATTATTGGAAACACAACAAGATGAGTCCACAGCAGACACTCTGGTGGCTGTTGTATTGGATCACACGTCGGACACTTCCATTATTATTAGTACTACTACTACTACTACTACTACTACTATTATTATTTTACTGACACAAAAACACAGTATGTCACAGCAAACGAGATATACATGCTGGATTTTGTAGGAAATTATTATTATTATTATTATTATTATTATTATTATTATTATTATTAAACACAACAAGATGAGTCCACAGCAGACACTCTGGTGGCTGTTGTATTGGATCACATGTCGGACACTTCCATTATTATTATTATTATTATTATTATTATTATTATTACTACTACTACTACCACTACTATTATTATTTTAATGACACAAAAACACAGTATGTCACAGCAAACGAGATATACATGCCGGATTTTGTAGGAAATTATTATTATTATTATTATTATTATTATTATTATTATTGGAAACACAACAAGATGA